TTTAAACTTTTATTTAAATATATATATAAAACAGTAATTTTACGAAAACATGGGCATAACTTCGTATGGTAATATATATAGGGGTTAGTGTTTGTCCGCCTTACTTCCCAAAAATTAGGAGAAAAAATAACAAAAATCACCTTAATGCATATTTTAAAAATATGGTAGTTTAGTCTTTTTCAATAAAAAGTTATTGAAACGACGTAGTTTTAAACTTTTATTTAAATATATATATAAAACAGTAATTTTACGAAAACATGGGCATAACTTCGTATGGTAATATATATAGGGGTTAGTGCTTGTCCGCCTTACTTCCTAAAAATTAGGAGGAAAAATAACAAAAATCACCTAAATGCATATTTTAAAAATATGGTAGTTTAGTCTTTTTCAATAAAAAGTTATTAAAACGATGTAGTTTTAATATGATTTTTCTCTTAATTTTTAGAAGGTAAGGCTAACAGAAACTTTTTCCATATATATTATTTTAATTGTATAATGAGAGGAAATTATTTTTTATCATTTATCTTGTTTCATTTATATGTCATGCGACTCGAAATGAATATCTCTTATTTTTAACAAAAAAAAATACCACTAAATAATACTAAATTATTTAGATTGGTTGCAATTCATACGGTAACACTGACCATGCAGTTAGCTTGCTAATCCATTCGGCTGTGGCCGCTCAGCCCGCTTCTTGCTACTCCCAGTGTACTGGATCATGCAAACAATATTTCGCCCATGCAGCATATATTACAGCACATACCTCAATTTTACCTCAAAGTCCATCTTTTTAACCCGAATCTTCATCGATTCCCAAAAAAGAATCCCAAAATTTTATCTATAAATACAAGCTACCGATCAACACTGTTCATCCAGGCACAGAAAAAGATTTCCCAAATGGCAGCACCTTGCTTCACCACCATTATTCTCTTCTTTCTACTCATTGCATTTTGCAATATCAACCAAACCCTAGCAAGACGCAAAAACCCTAATAGCTCATCATCTTTGCCTCTCCTTGGTCTTACCCATTCTAGTTCTTCCCTTCCTATGCCCAAAGCCTCTAGATACTCAACAAAGAGGCCACTACAAGCATTTGATATGATGGAGCCATTAAGGGAAGTGAGAGATGGGTATTTGATATCTTTAAACATAGGAACACCTTCACAGGTCATTCAAGTGTTCATGGATACCGGAAGTGACCTAACTTGGGTTCCTTGCGGAAATCTATCCTTTGATTGTATTGATTGTGATGACTTTAGGAACAACAAGCTAACAATGGCTGCTTTCTCCCCTTCTTATTCTTCCTCTGTAATCAGAGACTCCTGTGGTAGCCCTCTTTGCATAAACATCCATAATTCCGATGACTATTTTGACCCATGCACTGAGGCAGGATGCTCCTTGAATACTATTCTTAAGAGCACCTGTCCTCGGCCATGCCCTTCTTTTGCTTACACATATGGTGAAGGAGGGGTTGCCACGGGGATACTCACGAGGGATACAATTAGAGTACATGGGATCAATAGTTCTGAAGTTAGGGACATTCCCAAGTTTTGCTTTGGGTGTGTTGGATCTACTTATAGGGAGCCTATTGGGATTGCAGGGTTTGGGAAGGGCGCACTTTCTCTGCCTTCCCAATTAGGATTTCTTCAAAAGGGTTTTTCTCATTGTTTCTTGGCCTTCAAGTATGCAAACAACCCTAATATATCAAGCCCTTTAGTCCTAGGAGATGTTGCCATTTCTTCCGAAGAAAATTTACATTTCACCCCAATGTTGAAGAGTCCCATGTTTCCAAGCTACTATTATATTGGTCTAGAGGCTGTAACAATAGGAAATTCCAGTGCAACTACAGTCCCTTTGAACTTGAAGGAATTTGATTCAGAAGGCAATGGAGGAATGCTGATTGATTCAGGAACAACTTACACTCACCTTCCTGACCCTTTCTACTCCCAATTCCTCTTAATCCTTGGATCAATGATAACATATCCTAGAGCCACAGATGTCGAAACACGAACAGGGTTTGATCTCTGTTACAAGGTTCCTTGTCCCAACAACACATTTGGTAATTATGTTTTTCCTCCAATCACTTTCCATTTCCTGAACAATGTGAGCCTTGCCCTGCCCCAAGAGACCTACTTCTATGCCATGAGTGCTCCAAGCAACTCAACTGGGGTGAAATGCCTACTATTCCAGAGCATGGATGATGGTGATTATGGTCCAGCCGGGGTGTTTGGGAGCTTCCAGCAGCAGAATATGGAAGTTGTGTATGATATGGAGAAAGAGAGAATTGGGTTTCTACCCATGGACTGTGCTTCAGCTGCAGCCTCTCAGGGACTTCGCAAGAACTAGCTACCTTTCTTAATTGGTGTTTGTGATAGTTAATGATAGTTCTTCCTGTTAGCGAGAGCATGCGTCAGTTTTCTGGTAAGATTTGAATAATATAGGAGCTTCCAATGAGCTTCTGTACTTTTCTGGTAAGATTTGAATAATATAGGAGCTTCCAATTAGCTTGCCGGGCTTTGTAACGTAAGCCCGTGACCCGAGTGGGGGCAACAAGGTGATGTGATGGGAGCTAGCTTCTGTACTTTCTCTTTGTCATATTCAGTTTGTAATCTGGATGATCTGTAAGGTTTTTGGATTTTATTTTATCACGAAAGTCGAAACTGTAGCTGGATTTATTCTCATTGCTTAGAAACAGATAAACAAAAAGAGGTGGAATAACTATATATACTTTTTGAAGTAGTAACGGTATGAGATGATAATGTGGGGTTGCCCATGCTAAATAAATATACATTAAAAAGGACAGTTTGAAGAAGGTTTGGAATATTTAAGCAACCAAGACACAATTCCATTGGATTCTGTATTTAATACTGATATCGTGGAAATCAATCATTAGATGGTGGCTGCTCCTGTAGTCTTCACTTTTAGAACTGGAAAGCTATGACTCGAATGTTCTGGCAAAAATAAAGAAAAAAAAAAAGGTAGAACGCAAAGGCAGTCATGGGAGAAGGTAGAATATTCTTGAGCACCAGCTGCGTTAATCAAAGACTCCTCATGTCTTTGATCTTGATAAAGCCACACATGCAACTAGCAAATCACGAGTATCATCCCTAATGTCCTTCACACACAGAATATGCCAGACATCGGTACTCAGTAGTGCTTTAGGCCTATGGTTCAGAAAAGATAATAAAACTCCAGAACCCTCATTTTTATTTTTATTTTTATTTTTTTATGGTCAAAGGGTCTCAAAATCATTTTTTGTACACCTTAAAATTAATCTCTTTTTAGACAATTTTAAAAACACACCCCCCAAATCAGTGTGGTATATTTTAAAAAAAATTAATTTCTTTACATACTAATTAATCTAAAGACTTGAACCTTGAATTTAGTTTATAAGACAGATTATTACTTATTAGTTCTCCAGTTAATTCAACACCTTGTAAAAATGGGACAGAAAATAATGAAGCAATATGTTCCATAATTTTTTTTCATTTTTATTTGAATAAGTACATCCATGAAAGAAAAACATAACACTCGATGTTAATTACAACAGGAGCAGATCTCCCAAGTCATTTAACCGGTTGATATGGAAGCATCTAGACAAACATGCATGTACATTTCTAAATGAAATGGTACACAGACGAGACAACAAAAACCTTTTCTCTCTCTCTTTTTTTTTTTTTTTTTGGCCAAGAAACATAGAGACAACAAAGACTAGGAAGATAAAATCTTTGACTATAGAGTCACTTAGAAGTTACAGGCAGGCAGCAACACCAACTACCTAGGTACCTAAGAGCAACAGGATGCACTTGCTGTCCTCTCCGTAGGTCCATCCATCAGAACCATCCCGGCTGGATTTTGTGCTGGCTGCATTCGAGGTAGTCTTTTTGCTGTACCAGAACATAAAAAAACTAAATAACCAAATTTCATTCACTGTATAATTGCTGCACGTATTTGAATGTTGAAACTACTAAAAACAAGGCCAGGAATAAGCTAAACCATTCAAACAGGATGTCTTACTCTCACCTAAAATCAAAATGAAAAGCGAACTAAAACAAAGTACCTATTTCGTAGAAAATGTCATTGACATTGGTTGCAGTTTTGGCAGAGGTTTCCATAAAGAAAAGGCCATTCTCTTGAGCATATGCTTGAGCTTCCTGCACTCAAAAAGAGTTAAAATTAGAAATCAAGAGTTAAAGGCAATTCTAGTGTTTGAGTGAATAAGTTCCGTAAAATGTTGCAAGAATCTGTACAGGAAAGAGGATGTTTGAGGGAGTGAGGACGAAATGGTGCTTCAAGTTCAGAAAATTCTATATGGGAATCAAACTATACCTTAAAATACTCAGGATTATGGATGATCAATGGTGGAGGTATTCAAAAAAGATACAATAGTGACAGAAATAGAGCTAAAACCAGTTTTAAAGTTTGATATACTTACCTCTGCTGTCACCTTCCTTGCATCTAGCAAATCAGCTTTGTTCCCAGCAAGTGCCATAACCATATTTGGATTGCCTTTCATAAAAGGAATCAAGAAAAACAATAACAATTAACAAGAACTAAGTTTCTTAACAGAACTAGAATAAAAATCCACACAAATAATGAGAAATAATAAGTATGCTAAATGAGCTACAGTGGACACTCAACTCAAGAACGTAAGTAGTACCTTGTGCTTGAAGTTCTTGGATCCATTTCTTTGCCCTCTCAAACGAGTTCTAAAAGAAATTAAGAAAGTCATGATGTTGCTAATTGTACAATAAATCATCACCAGCATATTTAGCATATTTCCAACAGAAACAAACCATCCAGGTGCCAATAGTTTTCAGCCAAATGCAACAAATTAAAATAAAACATCAGACTAAGAACAATCTTCTTTGGAATACATGGTCCCTAGGCCTTTAATAGGAGTTTCCAATGGCACTATAGCCTTCCAGGAATACTTTTTTTTCCAGAATTTTGTAAGTATTTTTGTAGCATGTAAAAGATAGGATGCATATGAAGGAAAGGAAGGGCAATTGCATAGGATAGGTTCTGTAAGATTATAGCACCAAAACCACTTCCACACTTCTATTAAATATCAAAGGGAATGTTTATTGCAATGAGCTTGGGATTAAACAACTCTCCTCTGCTCTTATGTTATGCTGAACTAACAACTAAATCAAATAGAAAAGAGAAAAAAAAAGATTTAAAAACTTTGAACTAGACATTTCTTGTTTCACTTCTTAAAAAATCTAAGCCCTTTAAATAAAATATATTATGTGGTATCTTTAAAAGCCCAACAAACACAACCCTGTAGAAGAGGTGGAATTGTTAAGTCCACAGCCATCAATGTATATATAAGGGCCTCCTAAAGTTTTAATGCTTCATCACAGTTCACACAATTCAACAGTTTGGAAAATAGATGGTCCAATTTTTCAAAAAAAATAAGGAGATAGACAATCTGGGTTCATCAGGATTCACTTACTTGATTTGTTATATCGTAAACTATAATTGCAGCAGCAGCTCCTCTATAGTACATTGGAGCCAAGCTATGGTATCGCTCTTGACCAGCTGTGTCCCAAATCTCAAATTTCACAATTGCATCATTGACAGCTAGAGTTTGGGAGAAAAATGCAGCACCAATAGTTGATTCCTACATCATCATAAAATATTGTCAGCAAAATTTCAACAGTTATTATATTTTGTTGTCTTTTTCCTTAGCATCCTATTTGGATCTGCTAAATAGCTTTCTTTTTTTATTCTCAATTTCTTCATGAATTTCCCATTGTGTTTCCTTTTTGCATTTTCTGTTCATATTTATATATTACAAAAAACAATTCTAACCAAAATTCATAGCTGAACCAACCTGAAATTCAACAAATTGACCTTTAACAAAACGCAGCACAAGACTAGACTTTCCAGCCCCAACATCTCCAAGCAGCACCTGAAAGGTAAAAGAAACATCAATGAAAAGATATATACCAGAAAAAACACATGTCCAAGGATTTTCAAATTAAAAACAAGAAATCATATATAAGACCAATCACACACTATATGGACACATACAGACATTCATACACAGAGACATACATTATCTAATTACTTTGAACAGAACTTAGTAAATACAACTTAAAAGAACTGAATCACTTAAACAAAAAAGAAACAGCTGTAATCAGTTGAGATCATGGAAATACACAATGCAGTAGCTTACAACAATATAATTTCTATGAACTTAAGATACAATTAAACCCAAATGAAGCAGCATGAAAATAAACTCAGACTATAGTCATTGGAAAATTATTGATCCAAACCCGAAATACAAAGCGGAACTGCATCAAAGAATATTTAAGAAACCTCCTTTAGCAACTATAAAACAAAAGGATGATCACTCTAGTGAAAGACAATTGGCTATCAAAGAATATAGATGACCTCATTTCTGTGAAAGATGAAAAATTCACAAGAGATCATGGGGAATTACGCCAGACCCACACTAAATTTTCACAAAAGAAACAACCTTTGCAGCTTAGACTCAACCTACTAGTATTTACACAAGAAACACTTAATGCTAAGACATAATTCATCCAGATTCTTATGCTGAATGTAACAAACTGCAGAATTCGCATCAAATTTATGCCAGTCAAAACAAAATAAAACAGACTATAGCAAGAAAACCCACATCAGAATCGATCGTCTATAAAAAAAAAAAAAAGAGAATTAATCCAAACTTCTCCACCATAAACAGCGACATGACTATGATGATAGACAACTTAAAGGAATACCCAACTCATAATTTAGCAAGAACCCACACAAAACCCATCCAAAAACCCAAAACCACGTATACAAGCAGAAAAAAAAAGGGTTCGAATAAACCGAACACTGACCAATTTAGCATTGATATTCTTGTTCCCGGTGGTGGCCATGAGTGAGAACGGGTTTAGATTCGAAGAACTGATCAAGAAAATCGAGAGCAAAGGTGAATTAGAATCTTGTTTCAGACGTTGAAGAAGGAAGAAGGTTGAGGAATTGAGGTAGAAGAGAACAAGAGGAAGTTGTCACGCAATGACGCGTGCCAGTTTTCGTCAAATTTATCGTTCCAGAGGAAAACCGCGTAGTCGAAATCTTGATCAGTAAAAATTGAAGTTTCTGTCCTTATTTAGCAAAAGTGACAAAGTTTCTGTCCTGATTCACCTATTATGCCCAACGGGAAGGAACCTCATCAAGGGCCTCAAACAACTCTCACCGACTCGGCGACTCCGACCCTTCACATTCAAAAATTCAGGTTTATACGAGGAGTGTATTTTTAAGAAAAATTAGTTTTAAAATAAAATTTGTACATTGTAATATAAAATTTTTTGATTGCAAAAAAAGAAGAAACTATTGTTTCTTGCAAAATCTTCTATTTTTGTTGTAAATTGTTAATTTCTTTAAACTGAATGCATGTGAATGGTATGATTTAATTGTAAAATTTTGCTATGTGTATATATATACATTCAATTCAATACTATATATTTGACACTCATGTAAATCAACTTTTTCTATATGGTTAAATGATCCAAATTAAGGGGCATAGAAACATGATTTATGAATTATTATGCACCAAGGCAAAGGGCTAGTTCCCAGAAGCAAAAAAAGCAAGTGGCATTAAAGATCATGGCCTTATTTTACCCTTTTAACCGTTTCTTTGTTGTAATAATCCTTTTTACCGTTTGTGACCCATGTGAGAAAATTATTTGGTGCTTTCTTAAAAATAGGCTAAACAACTCAGTAGGTTGCATTAAAGATCATTTGGTTTCTTTGTTGTTGATAAGGCATGTTAATGGGTCATGGCCCATAGACTTCATGCCTTTTTGTCATGTTCCGATGTTAGTGGGTCCTTTATCTCCTTGACTCTCCCTCAGCTGCATATGCCCTTATTTGGGGACAGTACCCCCTCTCTATTATTATTCAAATAATAAAATTTTTCCTCACCCCATAGCCTTTCTTCAAACCAAACAATTTTTTAAAGAAACCCATAACATAGAAAACTAGTTATATAGAAATGTATTTGTCAATCTGAATTGAAAAAAATAAATAAATAAATAAAAACCCCTTAGCTAGCTTGGATATAGAGGCTAGACTCTAAATTATGTTTTTTTCAATTAAATATATATATTTTTTATTTTACATTTTGAATTGTATTAGATTACAAAATAAAAATTACTAACAAAAACCTCTAATTTCATGGAGGTCGCCTTTTATCCAACAATTTTACTAGCGCAATCCAAATAACACAACAATTTACTGTTAAAAAAATATATATGTATTCCCAGCCTCCATAGAGGATGTTCATGGCCTTATTTTTCCATAGGGAAAATTAAAATTTAACTACATGAGATTTTGAGTTGATGTATGTAAAGACTATGTTTAAAATGTTCATATAACATAGTTGTAATTTGCACTTAATGCATATAAAGAAATGAAATTTTAAATTATACACATAAGCACATGACATTTGGACTAAGTGCACATAATTACCAAATGTTGCATGAAATGTCTTAAATACCATCATTTTCTTTTCATTTTCATTATTTTAAATTAGAAGCTTTAAAGATATTTCAAGAAAATTTAAGAGATTATTTGTTTTTAGTACAAATCTAAGTGCTTATAGATACAATTTAAAATCTCAAATTTTTATATATACACACTCAAAATTACAAATATGTCATACATATTTTTAAATTTCAAAATTTTATACACACATTAATTCAAAATAATAAATAGCTAAATTATAATTTTTCCTTTCCATAAAAAGGGTAAAAAGGATTGTTATCTTTTGGTGTTTAGATTGCAGAAGAGAATAAGTGAGCCAGCAAGCTCTCTACCAAAGGAACTAATAAAATGCAAAACAGTGAAAGTGAAGCATAAAACAGTAAATGGAAGAGAGAGAGAGTGAACACTAATTTGACTCCCATTACACATAAAAAGCAAAAAAAGCTGAAAATGCCCATTATGTCCAGGGTCTCTATCATAGCCCTCCAAAAGGAAAAAGGCAAAACTTTGGCAAACCCTTTTGTCAGAAAATTACAACCAAAACCTACCAAATTAGCCAATTATTACTCCCTTCTGAATTCCACCCTGTGGGAAAAAAAACACCTAAAGATCGAGAAAGGTCC